ATTCTAACGCAGCGACATGATTAGAAGTCGCCGAGATGTCTGTTACATTCAGGGCCGCCTCACGAGCCGAGAGCCCGGAACCCCCCAAGGTTCAGCGTTGAGGCGAGCAGAAGTTGGTTCTAATGTCTCATGACTCATGAAGCATGTTATGGAACCAGGGGAGCAGCTACTGGTCACCACGAGAGAATTCGGATCTGATGTGTCTCTCGATTCTACGATCCTTCGCTGCTCACTCCGGCTGGAGGTGAGATCGGGCTGGTTCCTGAGGCTGGTGCAATGACTGGGATGATCCACCGGAATTTCACGCTCGATGTGAAAAGCGGCGAAGGAATCTCTATTTGAGAACTATCTCCCGAGCCGAAGCCGGGATAGAGAATCGGTAAGCAATCCCCGCATCGCTCTATGTCTTGTGCGAGCAATGAGCTTCGGAATGATGGTGAACATTGCACTCTCAACTCGGAGTCCCCGGAACCACCGGTCGTCGATATTCGGGGATTTGTGAGTCCTCCTAGGATGAATGAGCGTCCCGAATATCAATGGCGAGTATGAAGGAAACCTCATGGATTAAATCTCGATACCCTCAACTCTGAGACGTTCATAAATGGACTTCAGCTGTACCTCGAGATTCGTGGACTCTGAGCGTGACTGACGATTCGAGTCATCGCTTTGCCTCTATGGGGCTCGCCGTACCTTCAAGCGGGAGAGCGATTCCCGAATGTCGTACAAATCGTTTGAATTACCGTGGAAGCAACTGCCGGAGATCCCTCCGGAGCCAGCAACGGTGCCACGGGTCATGTTAATGAGCGGTGCAGTCATGGAATATCGCGGAATGTCGCGTCTCTTTCATCGCTCCCCGCGGTCAGCGCCGATCTGCCCAGAGGTCCGCATTGAGCTCTCCCGCCGCACAGTGGGGCCAAATCGAATTTTAGGTGGACAAAAGTCCATGGAAATCGATCCCGGAATTTTGATCGGTTATGGGTTTGAAGATGTTCGTAAGACTCTGAAAGCCGCGGGGGAACCATGATTACCGCATTTTCCGCATCCCCCAGCCACCCTGGCACCTGCGAGAATAAAATTGATTTTTTTATTTTTACGACGATTTTCATGAATTCCTCCCCCCAATCGGTGATGCTCGGAAATGAACATACTTCGTGCCCTCGCATTGGGGGGAAATTATTTTCTGCGCTCAGTTCCCATCCTGATCTCGCAATCCCACATGATTCCGGTCGAGTCAGCCGATTCTGGACTTGCTGGGAAGACTTTTTCGCCGAGACGAAAAAGTTCGGAAATTCGTTAAATTCTCGATGTCAGAAATGCGGTGTCCCCACGTGTCCCCCCTCTGATTTTTTTCTTTTGGGGAGTTTCGGACCTCTTCTGGACGCAGGAAAAAAATTGGGGCGCGAAACCCAGCGGTTCTCGAATACTGTCCAGCCAAAGTTGGGATCTGATCTCGTGGATCGGGACCATTCTCATGTAGTTTTTCGAATCCGAATCAGCACCAGCAGTTGGAAAACATTGTCGCTCTTCACTCAACTCTGGGAACGAGTCAACGCCGCGCCAAGACGCGACGCCTACGTCTCGGAACGGAAAAAACGTCAATCGCTTTCGACATATGGACGTCAATCTCTTGGTGCTGATTTGGATTCGAAAAACTACATGAGAATGGTCCCGATCCACGACATCGGATCCCAACTTTGGCTGGACAGTATTCGAGAACCGCTGGACTTCGCGCCTCAATTTTTTTTCTGCGGCCAGTAGAGGTCCGAAACTCCCCCAAAAAAGAAAGAACAGAGGGGGGACACGTGGGGACACAGCATTTCTAACATCGAGAATTTAACGAATTTCCGAACTTTTTCGTCTCGGCGAAAAAGTCTTCCCAGCAAGTCCAGAATCGGCTGACTGGATCGGAATCATGTGGGATTGCGAGATCAGGATGGGAACTAGGCGCAGAAAATGATTTTCCCCCAATGCGAGGGCGCGAAGTATGTTCATTTCCGAAAATCACCGATTAGGGGAAGAAATTCATCAAAATTGTCGTAAAATAAAAAAAAATCAATTTTTTTCTGGCAGGTGCCAGGGTGGCTGGGGGGTGCGAAAAATGTTGTAATCATAGTTCCCCCGCGACTTTCGAAGTCTTACGAACATTTCCAGACCCATAACCGATCAAAATCCGGGATCGATTTTCATGGACTTTTGTCCACCTAAAATTCGATTTGGCCCCACTGTGCGCCGGAGATTCTCGCCGCAGCCCGCTCAAAAATCCGGGATGAAACTCCCCTCAGAATCGCAGTCGGATCATGGACACATTTACTCGGGATTCAATTTCCGGATCCGAGCCGGCGCGGCGCAGCTCTCGGTCGCTCAGTTTGAGGAGTACGATCTTTCGCGTCAGCGTAGGCAAGTCGTCGGTATTTTCTTAGGGATTGCTAGCATGATCTTCGGAGAAATCCTAGAAGAGCGCTTCTCATCAGTTGCTCCTTTCCGGTCGAACTCTCAGAGATGAAGCCTCCTTCACTGAGCCACGCTTGAGGGCCACTGAAAGCACGCTCCACTTTTGGTCAATGCCCTCGGTGACGGAATCTCGGTAGGTCATGGAGCCGGCTCCAAAGCATGAAACCGAAAGTCAACGGGGCTCAACCTTGGTCGGCGTCATGCTTGCGCCGCGCCGCCACCGCTCGTCTAAACAAAAACACACATCGTAGAACACATCGGAAGCAGTAGACCAAGCCTACCGCTAAGCACCAAACTTCGAATCGGTGGAATTCACGATTAAGGCATCACGGAAAGCCGTCGGATCTCGCCATCGCGTCCGGTAATCTTTGGTCACGTGGCCATTGTTGGTTGGATCATTTCTGTGCGATTATGAACTGAAACGCTGGATTATAACGTCATGGAAGAATTCTTCACCGGCTCTGACCGGTTTCATTGTTTGTCTGTGAGAACGATACGAATCAACGAGATTCCACGCAAGCAGCACCATGCAAAGCCTCCGGACTGTCTGGGTGTTTCAACGCCGCCTTACGCGTTTCGAGAAGATCCAAAGAGAGATCGAATCCCTGATGAATCGGGGAAACCACCCTCAATCACGACCTATGAGATCTTCGGGGTCGCGGAGGTTCGGAGAAAAGTACACGGACGCCGGCGAACCGGTCGAGCTCGGGAGCTCGAATCAGCGCTTCGGGATCAACAGATACGAACTTTATACGAACTATCTCGATAGAGCATGACAACCTCAGACCACACCTAGACATCTTTTCGCCGCAGCATGCGGGAACGTCACACCGTGCGCGTTGCTCCAGGCGTCCATATTCCCGAATGCACCGGAGAGCCCACCGGGGAAGACTCTTCCCTGCGGAAATTGCGTTTTTCAGTGGACGTCCATCTGACAAAATGTCCGAGAATGTCTGGCTTGAACGATCGCAGAAAACTGGCGGGAGTCGGTAGTCTGGCGGGGTATCTATGTATAATGAGAGAATAATCGAATCAGGCTTGTCCCGGCGCAAGGAAGGAATCCATTTCGGGCGTCCTTGACGGTCGTTGCACCGTTGATCTCACCAGACGGTGAGACATGGAAGCGGAGTTTGAGCGAAAGTCGAGCGGCTCCACACAACACTTGTCGACCTCGGGGGACTCTTGGCAGACCCTAGGTTCGGAAACCTCCGACTTCCCTTTTCCTTAGCGGAGCTTCGGGTCTATTGCCTCTTCTACATGCTTGGGGCTGGCCCTCATGTCGTACAAAGATGCGTTGGAGCAGCGAGAAACTTGTCCGATCTGCCGGCTATTCCCGACGATCCCGAGTAAATGAACATGGAGCGAGTTGGATCTTGGGTTACGATTCCGCGATTACCTTTGAAAAAAGCGGAACCTCGAACCCGCGCAGCGAATGCGTAAGAAACGTGCGACGCCAACGACGAAGAATTAGTTGAATAGCGTAATGGTACAGCTCTGCTTGAGCGAACCGAATCATAGCTGTGTCCTCTGCCGGGAAGTTCGTTGAAGGCGGCTCCCATATTTAACCTTGAATCCCACCAGGCCTGGCGGTCCTGGGGTCTTATTAGTCATACCTCAAATAGGCCTAACTCGCTTGGGAATCGAGATTTGATCCGCGCATCGCGGGGATGCACGGGAAAACGTCGCGCCTAACGTCGACGTCGTTTGCACCAAGGGCGTGCACCTGTAGCTGCCACTCTACCCCGCGGCGCAAACCTGCGTCATTCTCGTAGGGGGACCGAGACTGGCGCGATGAACTCGACACAGGTCTAGTGTTCCCCTTGCCCTACAGGTTGGGGGTCTTGAAAAACTCGGTCTCCTTCCACGCAGTATGTTCTTCTATTTGGCATCTGGGATCCCTGCATCTCCTTTCGGGGTCAATATTTCATTTCCGGACGATCATGTTCTTTCGCACCGCGTCCTTGAGAACGCCATTGCTGGTGGGCTGGCAGGCATGGAGCTCGGTGTATCAGGGACAATGCACACGACACTCGAGGCAGGCACGCTTTACCGTGTATTCACGTGAGCATACCGAAGGGAGAAATGACTAGCGATGGAGCGGATATCTAATGAAATAGTGCACTTAAGTCGCTTTTTTTCCAGTATCGTCAAGCGCTGTCCGCATCCGTCCCGCACTCGATCCTTTTAGCGGAGGGGACTCTTGTCCCACGTGGCTGTGAATCTTCTCGTAGGTCGTCGCGGTGCACTCATTGAGGAAACTCGATTCTGAGGGCAGATCTGTCTCTCGCTAAAAGCCTCGCAGAACCTTGACCCGGACTCTCGGACCTACGAGACACAAACTGCGAACCCTGAATGGAAGCGCACTCGAGAGACCGAAACGGAGCATCAGAAAACACCACGCAAGTGGTTTCGGATTCGAGAGATCCGAGGAACCCAAAATAGTCTGTAGCTCTCGTGCATTCCCTCGACGCACAGGGAAAATTCGGGAGGTTACTTCCGAACGACGCGCCTCTCGTGGCGGAGGCGTTTGCTCGTCTCGACGAGTATCAGGTGAACACCTCTTCCGTCGAGACTGCAGAGTGCTTTCTCAACGACCGAACGATCTGAAGCTAGCGGTATCGCTTCCTTATCATGCGTGTAGTAGTGCTCTTAGAATGTATATTCCTTGTCCTTCTCCTGCGAGCGAAGCTCCCCGGTATGTAAAACCCGAGCATTATTGCGCATGGATAGCTGTGGGATATTCATAAATGCTAGTCCGGGAATGCGCCCATGAGTTCGTTTCCGGGACCGAAACTCCCCGGTCGCTCTTTTTCGACAAGATCGAAAGAACAAATGGAAATTCGCGTCATATCCCATTTTGTTTAGGCATACGTATGAACATAGATTTCCTCCACCTTTGAAAATTGTCGAGACGTACCTGTTTTTCATCTCTCGCTCAATCATTGCGCCGAGTGTCTTCAATGCAGCGTGTAAGAGGAGAATAATTATAGAAAACTCAGCGAAGGCGGAACTGATGAACAAAAATGCCACTCTCGCGGGTGAAATCATCGCTTTCAAACGAAAGCTCAGAACATCCAAGGAGTATTCCAGGTGAGTTTTATTTCGCTCCCCAACGATACCGTGCGTGCTCCACGCCTGCTCCGAGCACAATCGTATGCATCTGCTACCTTCATTAGGGCCTAGAAAAAAATCAAAATCGGTCCCAGCTGATTGAGTGGGGTGCAAAAAATTCTATTCGGGAGCATACGCTGGCGATCGAAGAGAAGCTTCTGGCATACAGACGTCTCTCCTGGTTCAAGCGCTCGTGTTGCTGCGGGTTCCGCTGCAATTTTCGTCAATCTCAGAATTGCCCAGTTTTCAGTGGAAGCTTCTGCAGTGAATATTAATAAGATATGTAGAGACTCAGTTCAGGTGCCTGGTTCGGAGTTCTCTCAAGCGGATCATTATGAAAGTTTTCATTCACTCACTCGGCTTCATTGTCCGCATGCGCCGTAAATAGAAAGTGTTGGAGACTCCTCACGAAGGTTCGTTCGGCAGGGATGCGTACACGAAAGTGTTATTTCAAAGAGAGGGTCGATCAGGCCTTAATCTTCTTACTTTCCCAGTTTAGTTCCACCGTTCGAACAGGGAACTAACGTGAAGGGCTCATCTCGATACCGTCTTACCGATCAGAATGAACGAGATGGGATCGGTACGGATTCGGCCGGAAGACATACGAGATCCCGTCTGATGTGTTTGATGGTTCCTAAGAAGCAGCGCTCTCGTGACCGCGCTCGCGTACAGCTCCGGCCTTTCGGTATGGCTCTCTCGTCATTTTCTCGATGCTGAATCGAGACAGCATGATTTGGGAGCCAAACTCCTCCCTTGAATACCGGGCCTCCTCCTGCATCGGGCTACGCAACGTCCCACGGGAAATCGCCAACGCCTAGCGGACGTACTGCGTGAATTTTCTCATCCCATTATTACATTGACGTATTCTCTGCTGGAGATCGAGTCATTCAGGCTCCGATCAAGAACCGGGGCATCAGATCATTTGATTTGAGAAATGTAGAAATGAAGAGCAGAGGCGCGGGAACAAAGCCGAGACCGAAAGACGAAGAGCGATGGCGTCGCTGTTATGACGCCACTATCTTGGTCGCGGATCGGATATTGCTGGGCAACGCAGCGAGATTTCGGTGCGGAGTTAGGTTTATGGTTTCGGATCATCGAAATGTACTCGGGCAGAAGTTCTGGTCCGACGCTACGATTCGTCATCGAATTACGCCAGTGAATATCGACTTGAGCCAACGCGGCATCCACGTGAAATTAACTTTACTTCCAGTTTGGTGCCGCCCTTCGATGCAACGAAGAAGACACTCCACATCACGAAGTTTCTCAGCTTCGAAGACGAGTTTTTGATCGATCCCGAAAAGCACCTCGTGTGGTTCACGATAACGGACTGTGATGTAAGCTGCCCCTGGGAATTACCTACATGGTTGAGAATAATGGATTTCGCCTATTTCGGAAGTTAACCACAAAATGACTATTACAAAGTTTCCCGCCCCTAGAACTGGAAGGACTCCAGACTCGAGTGGGAGGTTGAGGACGCGCACGTTGAAGACTTGCTCATTACCTCATACACTACCTGGAGACCCTATTCATATTACTCGGCTCAGTCAGTGATTTTCCGTGAATTTTCGAGAAATTTCATGTGGGAATCGAATCAATATTTCCTACACACTGAGCCTTTCTTCTTCGAAACGGTCTTTCACAGGAGGAAGCGTCTCTTCGCTTATCCCTCGTATTTGGAACACAGTGGCAACATCATTTCCTGCGATGCGTACCAGGTGGCTCTCCCGTGCACTTTCGACATGTGGGACTTCCCGAGCGATGTCCATGAATGTGTCTTGACAGCTTACTCACCGTACTATCATATCGATGTCAGTGAACATGAAAACAAGCATCGGAAATTCTGTCGATCATTCGACGAATCCGCTCTCGATTCATACGTCATTAGACTAGAGACAGTCGACTCACTTCCAGGAAATAGTCTACGATGTCATGGTGACCGGCTCAGAGCCGAATTCCGAATGGAAGATCGACGAGAGAAGCAAAGTCCAAAGCGCTTTTTATCCAGGCCAAGGGAATTTTTCGGAGATAGTCGTCGACTTCCAGCTAAGACGCAGACCCCATCTCTACGGGTGAGTCGGAGGCGCGGATTTAGTTCGATATGCTCCAGGAGAAAATCTTGAAGCTGATTCGAGCGATTCGGAGAAACTCTATCGCTTCCTCGATCGACAGAGCGAGGGTATACCTGCCACTCTGGAGCGTGATGATCCTGTCCTTCCTGATCCTCTTCTCACCCGAGGAGTCGAGAGTCGCCACTTCTTCTCTGCTATTGGTCACAGCATTCTTACAGCATGGCTTCCTCTTGAGCTTGGTCAAGGGATCGACATCGACGCCCAAGATCGGTGAGTGGATTGTCTCTAGATGCTCAGCAGGGAGAGGAATTTCAAAAAAATCTTTGTACGGATCAACTACAATTATTGCATTCGGTGTGAGAGAAGAATTAGCCTCGTAAATGATACCGCTATTTCTCCCAGTGCTGTTCTCGAGCTGTCTGGTCACCACCACGTGCTGCATCGCGGCAGTCGCAACATTCCGGGCGCAGCAGCAGAAAGGCCTCTCTTCTCCCCTGGCTCAATTCTCGTCGCGATTCGTCTGGATAGAAAACTTTGGCTTGAAAGCGATATGTCTCATTTTGGCGGGTGTTCTCAGCCTTCTGTAGTGCTTGCGAGTTCGAGAAAAATAAAAGGGAGTTCAGACTCTTCGACTTCTTTTTCCGTCCGATCCGCCCCCTCGTTGTGCGAGCTCGATAATTGAGTCTCGGGGACGGGAAGTCCATCGAGAGACATTCCGAGGCATGTCAGAAGGCTGGGGGATACGCCCTCAATCTTCTCAATGGATTTAGCTGCTCTTAGCTGGGAGATATGTATCTCTGTCCGCGGCACTGATGAGTTCCGTCAATGAGAGAGCTTCAAGTCGCCTTCCTGTACGACTATCCACAGTGGCTTCATTTGGCTTGATCAGTCGATCGACAACTGAGTTCAAGTCACTGAAGGGATCTACCGCGCCGAATGACCCACTTTATGCTCCCTGATCATCGAGTATGCTATTTCTTGCGTCTTATCTATCTATCGTTTCGATTTTAATCAAAGAGTGAAGTCCTGCCGGAAGGCGGTCACAATTTCTCGAGCTCAGCAGTAACGTCAGCAGCCCCTGCTGGGAGGTGATACGCATGGTCCCAGCGCAATCTTCTATCTTCCTTCGAGGCACTCGGATGTGAATAAAGAATTCGATAAGCCTTCCTGATCTCGATTTGTCTCGACTCGTTCCATCGATCTGCACTGACGATATTTTGAGGCAAAATAGCCCGAGTATGCTTCATCGGAGCGCCGAACGCAAGTTATTCCAAGACTCATGAATATTCTTCGCGTATCGTGACCGGAGTCGTCGCAGCCCGATTCGATTGCCTCAACCGAGGAATGGCCGGGTCAAGGAAACGGGAGGGCTTGCTTCGGAGGTCCACGCCGTCCACGACGTATTCCAAATACTCTCGGAGAAAAATAATCATCATCATGTTTTCCATCGAATGAGTCATACTCGAACTAGCTGGTTTTGATTCTATCGATCTCCATCGAATCGGCGAGTCCATTTCTCATCAAGGATTCGATCTTCCTGAAACCGGCGTAATTCCAACTGTCATTCAGGCATGAAGCGAGGTGCACTCTCAAGTCCATTCTGTGATCATTCGGCAATTATTTTGTCGTCCGCCATCTCTCGAAAGGGAGCTCCATCTCGACACGAGCGTTCGGAGCACTTTACTGAACTCCAGAGAGAAGGGGCTGAACAAGGTTGAGATTTAGGGCAATGACCCCGCGACAGGGGCGGATCCAGGATTTTCTCTCGGGGGGGGCCAAAGCCCCGTCTGGTCGTGGATGGATGAGTTGGGAGCATATTATTTAAACTTTAATAGCTTAATATAACTTTAGGAGTTTATATTATGAACTGCTTCCCGAGCAGCACATTTATTCGGTCATATGGCTCGACTGTTCAAGTTTCACTCAGCCCTAGAACTAGATTCATCCAGTCAAGCTGGATTCACGCATTACAATCACGTGAAATGAAGTTTAACTTATATGGCACAACGATCAGGTGATAAAAAGCGAGCACAAAGCTTCGCTCGATTCAGCTACAAGACAAAATCTAGCTTCCTCGCATTCGAAGCTAAGGAGTCGATGACCTCCTCGGGATCGACGTCGATGCCCCGTAGGATGCTCATCGAGGCTAATCCATTCAGGCGAGCCTCGCCCATCACAGATCTCAAATACGTCTTCAGCAATCTAAGACTGCTGAAAGTACGTTCTGCGGAAGCGGTGGTTACTGGGTATGTAGCGAGTATTCTCAGAGGATATTGATTTTGGGAAAATCAGCTGCGGGGCAGTGATTCAGTGCATCTATGGCGCTTGCAGGCACTCCGTTTTGCGGGACTTCCATCCACTTCGCGCGCCACCTTTCGAATTCGGCTTTTGCGACGTTAACACTACAGCTTAGATCGGACTCGTAAAACTCGATCGCTGGATGCAGATCCGTGACAGAGCTTCTCACTGCAAATTTGGGTATCAAACACTGGACCTTCAGGGCGCCCTGTCTCGCATCCGCGAACAGTGAGATAAACCCATCGATCAAGCTGTCGAGGTACGGAATGTAACTCGTCACTCGAAAATACTCTTCACTTGAATCTGCGGGATGATTCTCCCTGTTGAGCTGTCTTTCACATATGCGTGGCATTCTGATATCAATTTCGAGGGAGTCGCAAACCTCTGTAACCTCTGCCAAAATTTGTTGGAATCCATCGATCGCAGCTTCTCGCCTCCGCCTCAAGACAAGGAGTACGTTGTCCACTAAGTCAAGTGCCGCGAAAATATCAAGCTCCTTCGCTTGAAGTTTCACGGACAAGGGCAAAAAAAGAGATGAGAAACTCTCGATGATGAATAAAGACGTCACGAACTGGCATTTACAAATCGCGCTCAGAAGTTCGTAGGAGCGAGCTCCGGTTTCACCAACTTCTTGCTCCAGCTCCAGCAACGACTGCACGATCGGTATAAGAAGCTCCTTGAAAGCTATGAAAGCCTGGTGGCTCTCCACCCAACGCGTCATACACAATGTTTTGAGTCTCTTTTTTCTGGAATTCGATGAGTTCAAGCGTTCGATCTGATCTTGTAGAATTCTCGTTCGTTTTGAAGAGTTCGAAAAGAATGCACATACATTCGCCACTGAGCCAGCTACCAATCGGATCGCGGCGAGCTCGCTGGAGTGCACCAAAGCCAAATTCAAACAATGAGACGCACAATGGAAGTAGAGCGCTTGAGGAACGACGGCTTTTATCTCGGCTTGCGCACCCTTGTTTGACCCTCTCATCGCACTACAGCCATCATAACCCTGACCTCTGAGGTTCCGGATGTCTAGTCCTTCTTCTTGAAGAACACCGAGTATGCTGCGGGCCAACCCAGACCCTGTCTTCTCTTCCACATCAGAAAATTTGAGGAAGACTTCTTTGACAACGTGCTGATTATCTTCGCCGCCAACATAACGAAGACACACGGTCAGTTGATCGGTCTTCCCCACGTCCCTCGATTCGTCAGCTAGCACGGCGAAGAACTTGGCGACCTTGACCTCGGCGACAATTCTCCGTCGTATGATCTTCCCAATCGTTGAGATGATCTCGTTTTGGAACGTATGACTAACGTATGTCGCGTTCTTCTTGGCGCTGTTGAGGTGTTCTTCCAGAAGCCGATCCCCGGCATCGAGTCGATACCGCAACAGAGCTCTGAAGTTGCCGTCATTATTATTTCCGTCGACGGCGCTAAGAGACCCATCATCTCTGTGACCTCGAAGTGGTATATTTTGCTTCCCGCAGAGAAGAATCGTTCTGATTATAGGTACCAATCCTTGTCGATTCTTCTTCACCTGCTCTCCTCGTGCGGCTAACAATCGGTTCCTGAGGTCGTGGCCGACCTTATCGTTGTACCAATCGAGGAATTTCTCAGCTTTTCCTTTAGCCTCGCAATGATATTGGCAACGCTCATGGTTCTTCAGAATATCCAAGGCCTTCTTATACTTGTTGAGAGGTTTCGCGACCAGAACACCGAGGAAGTTGGGCCCTCTCTGATCCGACGTTTCTCTCGCAAACAGGACGCAGTATTTGCAGAAAGCCCCTCCGCCATGCATTTCGCTATAGGCTAACCACGGCCATTTCACGAGATAATGATGCTGGAAAGCACGAGTGCGAGTCGACTCCAGAACTTTCGGGAACTGATAGTGCTCATCGGGTTTCCAGCAATCTGTCAGCGCTTTGAACCGCTCCTCCTCCGTCAAAGGAGCATGTAGAGAGGAACTCTTCCGAACGAAGCGGCCAATATCCATGGGATCGAATGCCAACCGCGGCTTCTTCACGGCCGGAGACGCATTCGAATCGCACTCGTCCAAGGTTTCAATTATAGGCGGAGATTCCGCTCCGTCTTGTTGAGTCGAGGACGTCTGTAGGTCTCCCTCGGCCACAGTTCCCGGTTCCGTGGAGAAGAAATTTGTGAGCTTTTCTTGTCTCTTCATCTTTCATCACGATGAATTCGAACACTGATTTCGCTTTGGACCGCAGATAACGCGAGGTGCGTGTCTTGAACGTAAACACAATTTTAGATGTCGTCGTTGCACATAGGTGTGAGTCTGCGGGGCTCTTCTCGGACGCGAAAGTTATCGATTCAAAGGATATATGAAGCTTTCCGGGGCAGACTGCCGGAATTGGTCGTCAATTGAGACCATTCTCAACCGATATAGTATGTATACCTTAGGCTCTCGGGGGGGGCCATGGCCCCCTTGGCCCCCCCCCTGGATCCGCCACTGCCCCGCGAGCATCGTCCAGCTTTCCAGACAGCTGACGAGGTCGCGGTTGTGGACGCTCTATATGATGACACCATATAATTTCTGAACAAGGGAAGCCGAGCTCATGAATCGATCTCGCAATCGCGTGATCTTATGGAAAATCTTCCGAGACGTACATAGATCGCTACGGCGCGGCGCATCTCTGAGAAAATTGCACGCGATTGCAACTTTGAAGGACGAGCCCGGAATCGATTTGGATCTATACCGCTGGGAGGACTTCCCAGAGGGAGGGGCTCCGGGAATCGGAGTTGGGCCCTTACGTGACGGCGGATTGTTTTCCTCTGTTCATCGTCCAAATAAAAGGGAAATTGTTCATTCGCAGCCCGTCTACGACATCAATGATTCTCCCAGGCGGGGACTAATCGGATGATGTGTTTGGAAGGGGAGTGAAAGTTTGTAGTTCCGATGGCCTCGGTCCGCGGGATCTCGCGGTATCGGTTGTGTAAACGCGAAGAGAACAGCGGTTGATGGGCTACGGAGGAGCGAGGGAACGCCGGCGGCTGCTCATAACGGTCTGTGCTCTGGAGCGTAATTGCTTCGGTATAAGGAACAAGGCCGAAAGTTGGATCATGTGTCGATGCTTTCGCGAATGAACACAAAGCCGCATCCTGATGATGATGCAAACGACGCTGCCGTGCGGAGCATCTCCCTCTCTCCATCTCTCTCTGGGACCTGACAGAGACACGTATCAGCCCGACGTCTCGTTCCAGGTCGGAACTGCCAGAGAAATTCGAGCCAGGACAATGGGAGCTACGCGCTTCTGGGTTCCAGGGGGTTGGGGTTCCCCTGCCGTT